AAGGCGTTTGGGATGCACGCCTGCACACTATCCGACAGCCAATAATAATAATAATAATAGTGCATTTATATGGTGCTATTTCCAACTATTAGGATGCTCAAGGTACACAATCTGATCATCATCATCAACATTTTTAAATCATTAAAAGTTTAAATTTATTAGTTGTCTTTGCTTTCATATATATATTTCATCTGATATATTAATCTTCTACCATCCCACAACAAAGAATTACAAGCTATTTTGCTAGTTTATAATGTTTCATTTATCATATATATTTCAACTAATATATTAATTTTCTACCACCCACAACAAAGAATTACAAGCTATTTTGCTAGTTTATAATGTTTCATCTGTCATATATATTTCAACTAATATATTAATTTTCTAAAATCCCACAACAAAGAATTACAAGTTATTTTGCTAGTTTATAATGTTTCATCTGTCATATATATTTCATCTAATATATTAATTTTCTACCACCCACATCAAAGAATTACAAGCTATTTTGCTAGTTTATAATGTTTCATCTAACATATATATTTCATCTAATATATAAATTTTCTACCACCCACAACAAAGAATTACAAGCTATTTTGCTAGTTTATAATGTTTCATCTAACATATTTCATATGTTTCTGCTACTTCTCCTAATGATAAATGACAAGTTAATTATTTTATATTTTTTTCATCTTTAATATTTCACATTACGACTTCTTTCTTCCGTTTATTGGTAAATTATGTATTTGCTATATCCCACAATGATGAATGACAAGTTCCCGAGAAGTAGGTGTTATCCGTGATAGCTCTTGGCATATCATCTTTGAATCCAATTTACTGCCAAGTGAGATATAGAATGCTGTCACCTGTGGTATGCATAACCATCAGAATAAATATTGAGGGAATAGCTTAGACATTAGTGTAACATCACCACGCTGGTAATTGCAATCAGAGAGTATGCTTGGTGCACCCTTTAGCTGGGTGCCGACCCCTAACGTAGAGTTCTTCATATGACAGTGTAGGCCATTACGGTCTATATACATAAGCACTACCAGGAGGTACCTGGTCCTGTCTAACACTGCTACCATTAGGACGCACATAGCGTAACAGTGTAACAGTACTACAGAAGGCTATAGATAGACAGTATGTGGGTTATTCCATATTGTTCAGTGACATTAACAGTCCATACAGTAGTACTGTAGGCAATATTGTTCAGTACTGAAATGACATTGACAGTCCATGTGGGTTAGGTTTCCATATTGTTCAGTACTGAAACTGACATTATACCCATATTGTTCGTCCATAGACAGTATGTACTGTAGGTTATTCCATATTGTTCAGTACTGAAACTGACTTTATACCATAGACAGTATGTATTGTAGGTTATTCCATAGTGTATCATAGACAGTATGTATTGTAGGTTATTCCATATTGTTCAGTACTGAAACTGACTTTATTGTATAGACAGTATGTATTGTCCATACTGAAACTGTATATACTGTAGGTTATTCCATATTGTTACTGAAAGTACTGAAACTGACTTTATACTACGTCCATAGACAGTATGTACTGTAGGTTATTCCATATTGTGCAGTACTGAAACTGACTTTATACTACGTCCATAGTGTATATACTGTGGGTTATTCCATATTGTTCAGTACTGAAACTGACTTTATACTATGTCCATAGTGTATATACTGTGGGTTATTCCATATTGTTCAGTACTGAAACTCACTTTATATCCCAGTTTTGCATAACTCACATATTACACAGTCTACACCTAGATTGGATTTTTGTTGTTCCAAGGCAAACATATATTTCAGCTATATAACAGCAAACCTTCATTGATAATAGGTGCTCTTTTAAGTGTTGTTGCCTTTTCACAAATATTTAGTCTAGCTATGCATGGAATCTTTACTATACAATGATTAATATAAATATCTCAAAACCTTTGATATTTCAGTGATGGCAAGATTTTTTTGTCATTTGGACCAGGAATGTATAAATGACCATGACATGATTTCAATTGGGAAGATGTTTTCATAAAGCCAAATATTTAAATGATCATGGTGTGTCTGATCTCAAATATTTCTTCATTACAAAGTTCAAAGAAAAATTAATCCCTTCACTTATGATGAACAACGGGTGACAGCTGAAAGGATCACCTGGCTGTAAAATCTCAGGTAACTCAAGCAGGCATCGTTATCCCCTCAATTACCTGACAAAGGGAGCACCAAGGACAAGGTGTTTATTCACCGTTTATTTCACCTGTCTGTCTCGTCCAGGTAAGCCTTGACTTTAACGCAGGTATTTATTGTGACACTGCTGGCTGGACACTGAGTGGACAGGTGATGAGTGGTCGTTAGCTAGCCAACACTTACCTGTCCATTATGATTATTTATTGTGTCTACCTAAGAGAACAGTGATTGTCACTCATCATAATAAACACTGACATGTTCAACATGTATCAACATGGACATGCTCCCATGATAAATGTTACCATGCAACTACTTTTATACATTATACACATTCTGCACAGGAAACCCTTCAAAGGCTAAACTAAATACCAACACATAATGAAACAAAACTGTTAGAGATCATAAGTATTTTGGGGATATGTCTTTGTAGTTGAAGACCAAAGACAAAAAATCTCCCAAATATATATGATCCCTTACTTTTTTTGCACAGTATATGTATTACATGTCAGAATAAAAATTCAAAAGTTCAGAATGAATATTTCTTACATCCAACAAATCAAATAAGTTCTAAAAGTACTATAAACGAAGCATGCACCATTATATTTTATGAAACATGTTTTCCGGTAACTGCCTTTTAATTTATTTCCATAATACCCTTTTCCCCATGGCAATGAAACCAACTCAAGTTAACTTTGTAAGGATTGAACAAAATAATTGATTTTCATTTTACGAAGTGTAAAGGAATGTTGCCTTTGTTCACAAGGAGAATATCATGTGAAATCAATCGTAGAATTATATTACCTTTTTTATTTCAGTTAATTTTTTTTAAACAAAAGGTACCACTGAGCATTCCTACAACACCTAGCTTAACACCGCTTACGCTTCAAAGAGCTTCTTCTCATCAGACATGTTAATTTCCATGTTGTTGGGAAATAAATTTAAATTTTGTTGACATATCATATTGTATGGTGATGGTGTTGAATCTGGGGGTGGATTTAGTCGACGCTTCCATCATGAATAAGAGATGAGTGCCATCTAGGAGTGCAACTATAATCGTTTGCTTCAAAAGAATGCTCACATCAGTCTGTAAATGTTTAAACACCATCATCTTTATTTGAACATCTTCAGGAAAAAAGACGAGCAGTTTCATAATAAACTGGTCTAAGGTCTTGTAATTGTTACATTTCCTTAATTCTAAATACAAATCCTCTTTAATAAATATTTCATGAACCCCCACCCCCCCCCAGCTGAAGAACTATCTCTGGAGGCGATGGTCCAACATTGCCGATCTCTCCTGATTTATGCAATGAAGACCACTAGTGTCTGTAAATCATTATGAAGAATGACAATATTCACATAAACGAAGAACAAATTTCTTTACAGGGACCATATTCTTCGATGGAATTATGGAATAAATGTCAGAAAGAAACAAACGAGCCTGCATCTCATAATTGCTAAGTGACGTGAATGAGGCGTTGTTCACTGACGCTTTTGTTTGAAAATCAATCCCACAAACCCGTGCTCGGTTTAGGAAATAAGACATTTTGTCACTAAGAATGCTTCAGCTCACACCACCATAGAACCAGTAAAAAGTGCTGACATTGAAATATAAAATGCTACTTTCTAGTAACAAAGCCATCAATATTGAAAACAGTTATTTCTCTGGTGCTCAGCCAAAGATTACTTCGACTGTTCCTTCGTATCAGACATAGAATCACAAATCTGTGATTGCATCTATCAAATTTGTAACGTAACCAACTAAAAGAATCCCGCTTCCAATGACATCATTCCGAAGAGATCCCCAGCACACATTAAAGGGAATTGGCCACTTCCCCGATCAAACACACATGAACAATGAAGTTCTCTCCTTGCTAGGAAACAAGTTAATCATACTGGTCATCAATTATTTATTTCAAATTAAGCTTTTTTCCCATCCGTTTCATTAAAAAAGTAGTTCCATCTGTTATGGAAAACTCCTTAATCCTCACATTAAGGGGGGTTGGGGGTAGTGTCAGGGTTTGGGTGGCAGACACTCTCACATACAGGGTTTTATTCTCACAGGTCATCCTCACTCACTTAGTGAGAACATGTCAGGGTCAACACTGTTAGTCAGGGAAGGGAAGGAAGGAGTGAGTGAGTGAGTTTGTTTTACAGTGTTTTGAACAGTATTTTAGGTATATGATGTTTCAGGCTGATAAAGGAAGAAAGAATGTGGCAAAAATCTTATTTGTTTCTTGTTTAATGCGACACCTCACCAATACTCCAGTTATATGAGCAAGGATTGATTCTCTTGGGTATGAAACTTGTAATCAACAGTCACCAAGCCTGATAACAGCTGAGTTATCTTCCCTTGATGGGCATACTCTGACAGTGGAGTTATCTCCTCCTGAATTTATACAAAGGTTTAAATAGCTTTATTCATCTATTTATTCCAGAAATATTGCACCTCTTGAAAAAATCTATATTTTACATGAAGTAAGTTTGTATGAGACAGGAAATGTTTCATCCATCTTTCATCCTAACATCTTGGCCATCAGTGTGTAACAGAAGATGTCGAGTGTGCACTAATAGTTGAATGAGATGAAGCTAGGAAGAGGCTCCTTGAAGGTTTTGTGTGCAACATACTTGCACACACAACCCATAAGGAGCCTCTTGTACAAAGTGCTCAGTCTATTGTCTGCCAAAGAATGAGTTGTTCTAGTCAGTGTACACCTACACACCATCAGCGCCCACAAAGCATCCCAGCACTTCGACTATTGTGTTGAAATACACCGACTACAAAGGTAGTAGTGAGAATATACTTACACACAAGGACCAGCTCGGAGGTGAAGGTCTGGGCAGGCTCCTTGTCGCTGAGGCCCTCACATCGGTAGCTGCCTTCATCTGCCGCTCTCACTTTCGGAAAATACAGCGACCCATTGTTGTAAACCTTATGTCTGAAGCAAAACATTATCTTCCTGAATATGCTGAACTGTTATTACAAAACCTTTTAAGCAATTAAACTATATACTTAATGGGACACAAAATCCTGAATACTTGAATTCTTATAACATAAACAAAAGAAGAAAAAACTATCTGATGAAATAAATGTTGCCTCAGGTGTTTCTTTTACTGAAGGCACATTTCTTTACAATTATACTAGATCAAGTTTTTGAAAGGCGTTTAGATGAGATGTAACTTTTATGGATAAAACGTCCTTATTGTTTGTAATGACATTTCAGGGCTGCTTGTTGCCTTTCCTCGAGTGTGTCGCACATTGAAAAATACTCGTATTTAGCACCTTTAAGAATATTAACGGAAAGATACACAAACATAAATGTTTAGGATAGAGTTTGTTTTACCTGGAATGATTTTATTGAAGATGAAGAGCATGTTTTATCACCGAGTTCCTTAAATGATGATTTTAGAATAGCTTTTTCTACAAATGTTACGGTTGTAGTGTCCAACATTTTAACATTGTCAAACTACAAAAACAGTTATATGTGTCCTTTTTAAACAACGTGGGTTCTATCTTACTGCCCAAACCTGCTTTTAATACAACAACATAGAAAATATATTTAACATGGATAAACAATCACTTTTACATATGCATAAATGCCTGCTTGTTTTTACTTTCATAACTTAATGTGAGTGGCGTTGTACCATATGCTTACTGTACCAAGTCTTATGTTTGTATATATATTCTTTTTAAGACTGACTGACTGAGTGAGTTTATTTTTACGCCGCTTTCAGCAATATTCCAGCAACATCACGGCAGGGGGACACCAGAAATGGGCTTCACACATTGTGCCCATGTGGGGATTCGAACCCGGGTCTTCGGCGTGACGAGCCAACGCTTTAACCATTAGGCTACCCCACCGCCCCTTCTTTTTAAGATGTACAATGGTGAGATGTAATAAATATCTGTCTGTCTGTCTGTGTGTCCACCAGATGAAGGGGCCAGAAGAAGCCCCGAAATGTCGTCAGAAACTATAAAGAAGCTGTTATCCATAAAACTCTCATGTCTTCACATGATCAATATATCAAATTAATGTGCTTGTAAATGTCTGAAGATATATGATCTCAGGCCGAGTTTTGTTGTTACATTGATCCGGACTCATTACAGTAGATCCAAGCTACTATGTTCCTATGATATGAAGGAATTACAATCAACAAATAAAAACTGATACATATTGAAAAGTGGTAACTGAGAAATGTGTATCAATATAGGCTGAACACTTAATGATTTAGTGTCTCGTGAAAGCTATCAGTAGTGATTAGACACAATAAGATATCAAATAAAGGATATTTATTGCCAATACCTGGATGTGTTGGACAGTTTTTCATAGTTGGAGAACCAATCGATTCGGCTTGCCCCTCGGAATGCGCAATCCAGACGGGCGGGGCTGTTCTTTAGGACCAGTTTATATGCCGTGAATCGATCCTCCAATAAATGCGGGGTATTGGGAGCTGTCGATAAGACAAAAAATGCAATTAATCATTGTAAAATTTCTGCAAAATTAAAGAATATTGATCAAGGAAATTAAGTTTCCCATTTAGATCCCGTGTTTATGCAAGGAGGTGCCTGGCTCGGAGATTCAAGGCAGGAGGGTAACATGTCAGGAAAACGCCCCTTAATAACTGTTGAATGACTTTATGCTAATCTGGGTAAAATTAAAGATGTGCGGGATAACATGGGCCATTATATACGTGAGAGGACTGTAGTGAAGCAGACGGGCTCCAAGCCTTGCATTCACTGCATGGACTTCCACCCAACGAGATCAGGTCTATTGCCACAGTTTTATTAACCATTCGCAGAGAAAAGGCATAAAATGAGAAAAAAGACCTGAAAGTTTACTTTGTAATGAGCAAGCATGGTTCATGCCGAGAATGTTAAGTGGTTGTATATTGCAAGGGGGAATATGTGATTTATCGCACAAGCAGTGCGAACAGACCTGCATCCTTAGGGCACCTGCAAAGTGGCCGCATGCATCTAAATATCACAAATACAGTCATAAACCTCTCCCTTGAGCAAACCTTATGACATGTGTCAGATGATAGCTCACAGCAAGAACACCCTTTTACAATCGGACGTACTTCGATTGAGACCTACTCATCCACATGTACAAGTTAACCATTGTAACATATACCCTAAGGTAACAAATCAAAATGACAAATTTCACATTACTGCATCAGCGACCCCATTCCGGCTATTCATGCAAAATTTGATTCTTGATCAATAAACGAGGACACAGGATCCTTGCCATGAATAAAAAGATCAACGATGCTATATTACCATAATTTGATTTTTCATGATAAAAAATATATTGAATGATTCCCCTGTTTCATATGACAAGCAGCCCACTCAGTTCAATTAATCATCTCCCTGTTTCCTGATTGAGCTTTACCTTCACTATTCCATATCAATGCATGCAATTTAAACCTCACTAAATTTCCCGAAGAAAGAAAATGCTGAATTTTTACGAAAACTGGCGTCTATTTTGCCGCCTTGTTAACCCCCTCCTTAGGGTCTCTCCACGTCGCTTCACAGACCCCTTCTATCAATCATATTTGGAAATTGCTCAGGACCAATGTAAAATGGCAACTGAAAAAATGTGTGCAACTTGTTGCTATAATTTATGAACATGGACGTCAGGTTAGCAACAATTAGCCATCAATCTGTGTTAGCGCTGCCTTTATTTCCAATCTGACCAACCAGGCTCATGCGAGGATGCAGTAATTAGAAAATTTGAAAAAAATCCCATTCCTTTTGAACTGCTTCTTATGACTAATGGCGAGAGCGAAGGAAAACATGTTCCAATGAGTTTGCCAGTTCTGTCCATTTTGACAGATTAATTTCTTAATGACACATTCTCCATTGTTTGTTTACATCATTAGTCAATTTGATATGCTTCATGTTTCTGAAAATTGATTTCATATCTCAAAAGAAGAACTTTCATGGTTCAAAAAATAAATTTCATTGAAATTAAAGTTACATGGCGTTACGAACATGGTCTACTGAACTCGAAAGATGAGAAAATTGACATCTTGTTCTCCAGTAGTAATCACATTTTTAACATTTGTACAAAGTTGTATGTGATTAGTTCCCATAATGACAGGCATATTTTGAAGGCCCCTATGAAGTGAATAACGTCCCAATTGTGACCATCAATCTGCATATCAAGCATATGATTTCTAGCATTGATGATCATAATTTCTTCTCCATCAACAGAACTGCTCTACGATGGTGCCTTCACATTTCCAATCATGGTTTTACCGACCATGAAAACAATTGGACTATATTTTAAGTGTTCCTCTGAGAAGTGAGTGCTTGTGACCCAAACAGCACTAAGTCCACTGCCCACATGTCCTTATCAGTGTTTACTGACAGAAAGCCCAATGTGTTCAGATTTGGCTAATTAAGCATACAGTGGACCTACAAGATGGATGGAGGAGGAGAGGAATGTAAACATTGTTGTTGGTATGGCCAAGAATCCTGGTTCAGAACTTGGCAACAGATGGGCTATGGGGCACAGGCTCCTTAATGGTGGCACTAGGGTCTGCTGTCAGTGTTTGCAATGGCTTGACTAGTTTCACTCAGTACAGAAAGTTGCAGTTGTAGGAGTGAGCAATGTGATTGCAAAGGTGCAATCAGTTAGAATGAGCACTGAAAACTGAAATGATGCAACCAGATACAGAAGCAACAGTGCAACCGGTTTGAGCAAGTATAGAAGACTGCAACAGTGCAACCAGTTTGAGCAAGTATAGAAGACTGCAACAGTGCAACCAGTTTGAGCAAGTATAGAAGACTGCAACAGTGCAACCAGTTTGAGCAAGTATAGAAGACTGCAACAGTGCAACCAGTTTGAGCAAGTATAGAAGACTGCAACAGTGCAACCAGTTTGAGCAAGTATAGAAGACTGCAACAGTGCAACCGGTTTGAGCAAGTATAGAAGACTGCAACAGTGCAACCAGTTTGAGCAAGTATAGAAGACTGCAACCAGTTGGACTGACAATAGATGATTGCAACAGTGGAACCAGTTGGACTGACAATAGAAGACTGCAACAGTGGAACCAGTTGGACTGACAATAGAAGATTGCAGTGGTGGAACCAGTTGGACTGACAATAGAAGATTGCAATGCAACAGTGGAACCAGTTGACTGACTGAGATTGCAATAGAACCAAGACTGAAGATTGCAATGGTGGAACCAGTTGGACTGACAATAGAAGATTGCAACAGTGGAACCAGTTGGACTGAGAATAGACAAAGACAGTTGGACTGACAATAGAAACAGTGGAACCAGTTGGACTGACAATAGAAGATTGCAACAGTGGAACCAGTTGGACTGACAATAGAAGACTGCAACAGTGGAACCAGTTGGACTGACAATAGAAGACTGCAACAGTGGAACTAGTTGGACTGACAATAGAAGACTGCAACAGTGGAACTAGTTGGACTGACAATAGAAGACTGCAACAGTGGAACCAGTTGGACTGACAATAGAAGATTGCAATGGTGGAACCAGTTGGACTGACAATAGACGACTGCAAAGGTGGAACCAGTTGGACTGAGCCCAGAAGATTTCAATGGTGCAACGAGTTATAGAAGAATGCAGTGGTAGAACCAGTTGTACTGAGCACAGAAGGTGGATCTGTACACCTGGTGTGGCAGCACACCATCTGACGATGCAGATTACCTTCATTGGGGCAACAGATACAGAGAAACTCCACACTAATCCAGCATGCTAAGATAACACCGCTGGTCTGAGTTTGGGTATGGTCAGTGCTGGCAGGGTGACTGGGTGTGAAATGGAGCTGATCCTGATGTAGATGAGTCTGATAGAGGCCAACAACTCAATTAACACAGCTTTGATGCTGGGACCTGAACTGACCACTCTGGCTTGAGGTATGTCTCCACACAGACAGCGGGACCCAAGCTTATCACACACTTGATTGCCTGCAGTTCCATACTGTACACATCACTGGTACATATCTCCTAACTAGGGAATAACAAGATGTATACAACAGGTACTGCAAGAACAGTTGTACCCAATCACACTGATGGTACATCATTATGTACCAGAGGTAAGTCAGGGAGTTGGATTTTATTTAGTTTTCAACATGAAGCTGTGTAGGTGACCACTTCGTGAAACGCTGAAGTGTAGTTATGGTGCAAATAGTCCACATCCACTTTGAATCTGGGATTCAAAGCAATGATACATAATATATATCCTAGCTAACTGTGAACCCACAGACTACATGACCACCTTATGCAACTGAAGAGTGAGTGAGTGAGTTTAGTTTTATGCCAAACTCAGCAATATTCCAGCTATATGTCGGCGGTCTGTAAATAATCGAGTCTGGACCAGACAATCCAGTGATCAACAGCATGAGCATCAATCTGCGCAAGTGGGAACCGATGACATGTGTCAACCAAGTCAGCGAGTCTGACCACCCGATTCCGTTAGTCGCCTCTTACGACAAGCATGGGTTACTGAAGGCACATTCTAACCCGGACCTTCACGGGTTGCAACTTAAGAACTAATAAATACCAGATAGTGGTATCCATTCACATTACTGATAATATATAAACATATTACCCCTTTCAACAATGTTCAAGAATTTTGGAAAGAAATATTGCTTATTAATCATTATATACTGTCTCATTACCAAAATTACCCTATTTTCAAGAATGTGAAAAACAGATTTTGGTAAATATGTCTCATAAATTAATATTCTGCTAAGTTCCTGACCAAGTTGTGCTCCAGTGGCTCCTAGTCACTCGGGTTTACCCAATCAGACAATAACAAACAAGTGATTGGCGGAAATCAATGGGGAGCAGAGCTAAAGAGGGCAAATGATCCTGATTGTATCTGGTCATGTGATTAGATTCCAGCAATCACTGACCACTGGCTGACTATTCCCCAGAACGTGTAACACATCTGTGTAATCAAGAGGAGCTATGGGGCCATATTCATGACAAGATCCAACACAGCCAGGAGTCCCTATTGACAGCTGACTGGGACAGAAGGAGTGGACGTGCATACTGAGGCAAGACACTGAATGCAAAGTACTGCTGGGGACTGGGAGAAGGGCTAGGTATAGTCTGTCTCACAGTCCCTGAACCACATTAATTTCCCTACTGCCAAGCCCTCTCTGCTGTGCTAAAGCCCTAAATAAAGCAAGTCTAGATTTCCTCAGGTTCTGAATCTCTGATCTCCCTAGGGCTCCTTTTCAATATAAAGGGGCTTGTTTGTTACTATCAAAATTATATATATTCAGAGACTAAGTATTAGTCTAGGCTAGGTAGAACAGATCACTTTCATAACAGTCTCAGACTATTTCCAGCAATAGCCATCATCATCATCATCATCATCATCATCATCATCATCATCATCATCATCATCATCATCACCATCATCACGACCACCTTCATCAGTATCACACCCATCTAATCATCATCATCATC